ACCATCTTCCTGATGTGCAGAGTCCACCCAAGAGGAAGGGTGAACTTCACCTCCGAGTATGCGTTGTGCCTCGTGTCAACAAGTTCTGAATTGAAGCAGGAAGCTTTGTGAAACCGTTGCTGAGCAGTATAACACTGCCTGACTATGACTTTTATCTGCGATTTATTTAAGACTGGTCTTTGAGTCTAGAGCGCTGTATCATCCTGCTGTAAAGAACCAACACACTAAAACATCCTTCAGCTTCCACTCCCAGTGAATGAAGTGTGATAACAAGAAAAATGTTTACAAATAGGACTGGGACCAAAAATATGAGGGTTAGGGAAATATTGATAAACTGAAAAAGGTTACATTTCCTGAAGACAAAAAACGTATGAAGTGTTGACTGAAGCGTAAACACAGAAATTATGTTAAAGTGAAAACCCAGCGACAGCAGTCACAGTCAGGTGAAGTCATACTTTATAAATTCTGTTTTTATGTAATTGTTTTTATCTGTGTTTTTCAGATCATGAAGAGGAATCTAAATAATGTGAAGAGAATGACATCCCACCCCATATATCAGTATTGTAAGTGCCTACATTAAAGCCTGTGCATATCAGGTCATCAGCGGTACACAGCTGAGTTTTTGTCTTATATTTCTTTATTTACTTCTACTTACTGTCATCCCACCTTTGTGTGTGTGTGAATCTGTGTGTTAGACATGACGGGGGCTCAGGACGGTAGTGTGAGAATGTTTGAATGGAACAGACCTCAGCAACTTATTTGCTTCAGACAAGCAGGCAACGCTAGAGTCACCCGGCTCTATTTCAACTCCCAGGGCAATAAGGTACACACACACACACACACACACACACACACACACACACATTCAGCAATGCCTGTGTTTTGTCTATTCGGTGTGATTGTTCTGATTGCTCCGTGTTCTTCTTTTAGTGTGGAGTCGCTGATGGAGAGGGTTTCCTCAGTCTCTGGCAGGTCAACCAGACATCCTCAAACCCCAAACCCTACCTGGTGAGGTCACCTCTTTAATCACCACCCCAGCATACACATGCACATTTTAAGATAGAAAACTCAATAGGAGTCATTAAAACTAATATGCACTCTTTGTTCTTCTGTTCCTGCCGACAGAGTTGGCAGTGCCACACTAAGACCTGCGGTGATTTTGCCTTCATCACATCCTCCAGCCTCATTGCCACAGCCGGACAGTCCAACGATAACAGGTCAGCATCTGCACTCAGGAACACCACTGTTAAACCAACACTACTCTTTTTCTGTTGGTATTGATTGAATATTATCATCTTTATTTTTGCACAGAAATGTTTGCCTGTGGGATACTCTGATTTCACCTAGCAATACCATGGTCCATGGTAAGAAATCCCAAATGCTTTAACCAAGCCAATGTTAATGATTTTCCCTGTATATGGAGTTGTTTTGTGATCCAACTTCACATTTCTTCCCTCCCACCCCTTCAGCGTTCCCCTGCCATGAGAACGGGGCCACTGTGCTGCAATATGCTCCTAAACAGCAGCTGCTGATCACTGGAGGCAGAAAGGGCTTTGTGTGCGTGTTTGACATCCGCCAGAGGCAACTGCTCCACACTTTCCAGGCCCATGACTCAGCTATCAAGGCCCTCGCACTGGATGCCTTTGAGGACTTCTTCGTCACTGGCTCTGCAGAGGGCAACATGAAGGTGACTCGGGCTCCATCACTCACTCACTGACCTGCCAAAACGCATAAGCTGTTATAGACATACTTTGATTGTTATGCACGTTATACATATTATACACTATGTGGCTTAAGCATCAGTTTCCATGACATGCAGAGCTTTTAGCAGATGTTGGGCATATTTTAAGTAGCAAAACGTGACTTTCCAAGGTGGAATGCAAGTGTATCTGTTATACTTAATTAGGACTGTAAATAATGATCATTTCTATTATTGAAAAGTCTGCCAATTATATTCTCAGTTAAATGAATGGTTGATAAAATGACAGTAGACTGTGAAAAATACCCATTAGACGCTGGGACCAGAAAATGTCTGACATTTTATCTTGGAAAATGACTCTGCTGGTTGCCCAGCAACCCAACAGTGGCAACAACACTCTTGGCCAAGAAATACATAGTCTGGTACATAAACATTCTTAACACCACAACGTGACGTTTTTACTTTTGGGTTTTTCCACAGAACGTGTTAATTAGTGAGATGTACAGGTGCTGCTAAGCAGATGTTGTTACCTCTGGATAGAGCCAGGCCAGATGTTTCCTTCTGCTTCCAGTCTTTGTGCTAGGTTGAGTTAACTGGCTATTGGCTTCAATTTCATATTTTGGTGTATAAATATGAGAGTGTCAGCAGGAAAGCAAATAAACCTAATTCCCAAAGCTGATCCTTTTATCTAGTGGGGTCACCTAATGAAGAGATATCCTGATGAATTACCTTATTTAATTCCATCTTGAGTGTAACTGGTTCTGCTCACCATACCATGCTGGTTACGGTGAGACTTTGGTATCCGTTGGATGCTGTTTAATAAAGAACAGACACAGACGTGTGGTAAAAAGAATTATAACACCGCTTTGAGAAAGCGTCACAGCGCTCGAATTGAATTTGGCACTTAACAGTTGTAGTGGCTGGAAGAAAACTTAACATCTGTTCTGTCCCTTCTCATGCTTCCTCTATCTGCAGGTGTGGAAGTTAGCCGGCCACGGGCTCATGCACTCTTTTAGCAACGAGCATGCCAAGCAGTCCATCTTCCGCAACATCGGCGCTGGCGTCATGCAGGTGGAGACACGGCCCGGTAACCGCATCTTCACCTGTGGAGCAGACGGCACTCTGAAGATGAGGGTCCTCCCCGACCGCTACAATATCCCCAGCAGCTTGGTTGACGTCCTGTAACACCGACTTCCACTTCTGCAGGTCCAAAGAGGAAAAAGACAAAGAAAAATCACAAAAAGCTTATGTAACACTCACTAGGCATTAATAGTATAATCGATGGGGGAAGAGTTAGTCAAAAGATCACCACGCTTTTGGCATCTTTCAGAGTGTGCAGTGTTCATGGGTTTACTGTTGATGTAAATCATGTCCAGAATGACAAACGGAGCTGCAAATATTTTTTTCCCAAAGGCTGAAAGCAAAGTTACAAGCAAAAGTTATCATACTTGATTTTAAAGCTAGATTTATTGTAATTTATTGAAGAATCTCTACTCTTAGAGTGTGTCCATAGGGAAGCTATGCATGTCCTGTTCTCGTTACGCGGTGCAATCACAGGTCTATTGATAGTGCTCTGTAAAAGTGCTCAAGCAAAAATTTTAAAAGTGTGTAACTGTCGTCATTTTGTGCCCACAGCTGAAATCTCTTAGCATCTACTGTAACCAGCACTGTGGTTTGTTATTAAGTCAGTGGTTTCCAGTGTGAATCGAGTTGTTGGAATCTGCATTTTGTTTCAATGGTTTTGCCCCCCCCCCCTTGCCTTTTTGCCCGGCTTTTCTCAGCCCTTATGGAAGAGTTAATGGTGCATTGCTCCTATAGTGACACCCCACCCTTACCCCACCCGGCCCCTATTTCACTGGCTGCCCATCACTCGCTCTGGCCTCTCCCGGTTTGGGCTCAAGCCGGCCTGGGTTGGTCGTGGAGCGCGTGTCCACTCTGCTGTGTCTGTCATCTGTACGCCTGCCCGCTCACATGCCCTCAAATGCCTGTTTGTGTGGCGAACTCACTGCTAGAACATTCCTGTTTGGAAGATGATGTGTTTTACTCCTGTGACTGTGATTTAAATGTTTCCATCTGTCTGGTCCAAACCTAAAAACCCACCCACCAAGAGCAGAAACACAAAGGTTCACTTCTGGTTTTGCACAAGATATTCTTGAATAAGTTTTTTTTTTTTTTTTTTTTTTTTTTTTTTTTTATTTTATTATTTAAATTATTTATATGTTTGTGTTTGTTTGGTTGGCCATTCCTTTTTAAAACTATTTAACTTATTGCCTTTTATTTTAGGAATGTAAGGGGTTTTACTGTATCTGACTGGGAGATGTGCAACACAGTCTACTGTACGTAAGTGTGTGTTACCTCGCTAGTTGTTTTTACTGTTTCATCCATAAGGAATAGATATTTGCACTCAAATTCTGGAGACACTAAAAGTTTATTTCAAATAAATAGGTTATTGAAGAAGAAACTGTTATATACAAATGAATGTCTGGCTTTATTTGGCCTAGTAGTAAAACGTTTGAAATAGTTTTAATATATAAATTATATAAATATATATATGAAATACCACAACAGCTTGTACAAACATGAAAGCATTTCTTTATTTTTGGTTTGTATCATACCAGCTGGATTAGTTGTAACTTTTGTTAAGTGTATGTATGGTATTTATTAAAGAGATTTGTGTTTCTCTCCCTCTTTCTGCCCACTATGTGTACTGTATGTATCTTGTGTGTTTTACCAATGGTCCTACTGGTGTCTGGTGTGCGTGTTTGTGTGTGTGTGCATGTAATAATGCAAAAGAAGCCAATATCATGGGTAGACACTCACTGGGGCACTTGAGCCTGAAGGTATGTGAGAGAACAGGTCATGGTCAGAGTTTTACCTTTGTAAAGTGAATAAATTCTTTTTATTTCATCAGGGTGAGTTGAAGCTGTTGTTTTAATTTTCTGTCAAGTGGAATAAGTGACCAGGGACCATGCTGCTTCACTACAAAGGCAGGTGGGCTGTTTATATGTAGAAGATATCTGGGTCTGGGTGACATGTACATCTGTATAAAAATACATAAAAGAATCACCATGCAAATACACAAAAAATAATGTAACAACTTACAACACAGACACTAGAGTGGCGTAATAAGTTCACTTTGTATAAAATGTGAACTATTTGATACAAAGTGATTAAAAATGTTCACACCATTAGTAACTCCAAAATCTTACATTACATAGTACATTGACAATAGGATATGAATACAGCAGTATATCTTTTTGACTATGATAATAATTATTGACCAAACATTGATTTCCTTGAGTGAATCTAATTTTTCACAACTGACTACAACACCTGACAGGAGGATAAAGCTGACACTGGTGTGTACGTATCTTTTGGACACCTAAATATGACCAGTTTTCAAAGATGGAGTGATTAGTAGTTGTAGTCAGCAGGTGTGTGTGTCATCCTCAGGCTGTTTGTCATTCATCATTGATGAAGTGGACCACGTAGAGCCTGACATAGCTTTGGTCCCACACATACAGGTGTCTGTCCTTCGGGCTGTAGGAGAGCATTGCCAGCACGCCACCTGGAGACCTCAGGTCAAAGGTCACATTGACCGGCTTCCCTTTAAGCAGGTCAAAAGCAAAGGTGACTCTGGTGTCCTTGGTGTCAGTTACATACAGGACACCACAGGCAATGAAGGCGTTGCCAGCCTTGGTGCGTGGGTAGGTGGTGTTTATGTAGGACGTGACGGAGAAGGTCTTCTGGTCCAGCTGGGCCACCGTGATGCTATCGTCCACACTGGAGGCGAAGATCAGCCACAAGCCATTCTCATCCGCTGCGAATTTAAAGTAAGTCTTGGAGTTGTAGAGCAGATAAGCGAGGCTGTGGTGCAAGGCGTTGTCTATACTCAGGGTGTGAAGCTTCCTGGTGTGAAAGTCAAATCTGTAAACAAGCGGCACCATGTTAAGCATGGGGAATGGAACAAAAGGAAACGATAGCAAAGCATCTAACTCTGCATCACACTGTCTTTCAGCCAGGGGTGTAGTTCCAAAACAAAGACATTAACTTTTTAATGTAGTCAACAAAAGGCATCAAAAACGTCATATTATAGTTTATTCAAATACTGATAGGGAAAATTCTGTCCTCCCAAAATAATGGTAGGGACATGTCCCTACCGTATATATATGCAAACCTACGCCCTTTCTTTCATCTTACCTGGCGATGCTGGAACTACCAGCCATATGATAATAGAAAGAACCGTTGTGAACAGTGTGGCCGCAGCCATAATAGAACTTTCTGACATCCACAACGTCACTGCTGTTGTTCTCGAAGGAGGCAATGCTTGCATACTCCTTCACCACGCGTCCTGGGGAAGAACGAGAAAAACACACATCCTGGGTTTGAAATACAAAGATTGATATTTTTTTCTGTCAGTGTCCATGTTGATCTTCCTCTGTAATGAACCTACCAGAAAAGTGCTCTGCCACCCATATGCGCTCATCGTTCAGCTGAGCGGTGTCTTTCATCCACGTGCCGAAGGTGCTCTCCATCTTCGTCACATTCCTTGGGTTGATCAGAGACTTAATCAGGCACTCTGACGAGAAACAAAACAACAACAAGCTTAGTCAATCACTACTACTCTGCCACACAGCACATACTGTACATGTTGACACACTTCTCTGAAAACACACCGTTCTTCTTAGTGGGCTTCTCATGCAGTTTCACCGCTTCCTTTGGAGATGAATTTTCATCATTTGGAATTGCGTGTAACGTCCCTGTCAGACACAATTTCATCTTACGTTATTCAGTGTTCACGCAGTGTTTACATGACAAAACATTCTCACCAGCTGGTTTCTAGATGAATGTAAATTTTCAAATTTCCACTTTTTGATCTTGTAGCTTCATGATCATATGAAGAACTTCTCATCCAAGGCTGTTAGCTGCAGAACAGCTACTCACCCAGGGTCTGAGCAGCCTGAAGGTGGGCTCTGTGATGCCTTGTTCTGGGAGGCCCTTGAGGCCCTGGAGGTCCAGGAGGGCCCATGGGCCCAGGAGGTCCTGGAGGACCAGCATGACCTGTACAAAGAAGAGGGGACAACATCTAACCTGTCTGGATACAAAAAGTAAGTTTATTTATTACATTCCCTCCCATCCAAGTGGTTCATGTGAGTAAAACTCTACTTGCCCTCAATAATGACATCATTGGATGGTTGTCCCTTCTCTCCGGGAGGCCCTGGCTCTCCTTGCTCTCCTTTTTCGCCAGGTTCTCCTGTTTCACCTGGTGGCCCTGTGGGGGACGTTATACAAAGCAGTTCTAAGATTGTGTTCCTAATCTCAGTACATGTTTCCTTGTTAAAACCATGAATGAATCCATTGACTTGCTGAGGGTGAATCATATGCCAAACCTCTGTGGAGGACAGAACAAAGTGAAGTGGGAGAATACAGGGAGAGAGTTTTCCAGTTCATTCAGCTGAAGCCCAAAACCGCAGAGATGAATAATATTAGTGGAGGATGAGAGAGAAATGCAACTGCAGTCATTCATAAAGTAGACAGCACTGTCTGTAAAATCTGATGTCATTATGATTCATGGATAGATCAGGGAACTGGGTGTGTTGGTGTGTTGTGAGTTTGTGTTTTTGTGACGGTCTTGTGTGTGTGTGCGTGTGTGTGATTTTAAGTGACTGTGGTGTTTTGTTTTGTTTTTTTTCTTATACCCCAAGGTCAATCTCAACCTTTTCACTGTTATATTGTACCAGTAGTTCCTCATTCAAATGGCCAGCGTCGCCTGAGGCACTATGGGATGGTGAATAGAGCCTCACTTTTTACTTACCTTTTTTTCCTCTTTTCCCATCAGCCCCGGGTGGTCCATTCATTCCTGGGAGGCCATCCGTCCCATTGTGGCCGGGCAAACCGTCAGCACCAGGCAAACCTACAGTAACACAAAAAAATCTTCACCATGAGCTGAATGGGAAACATATTCAGCAAGGACATGGGTCACTAAACCACAAAGGAGGCATACAGTAGAGTATGGCTGGATTTTACATTTGGATCCAGTATTAAAGGTTCACTTACCAGGCGGTCCCGGGGGTCCTGCAACACAAGGTTTAAGGACGTTAACAGAATAAAAAGTGATATTTTGGACATGATTAGCCAGTTTAAAGTATTTCAGTGAACATACCGGCTATGCAGACTCCCTTGGTGCTGTTGCAAATGTCGATCAACAATTTGATCTGAGGACGACGAGAAAATATCAAAATATAATTAAAACACTGTGATGCACCAAATTTTACCAGCTCAGTTTGAATAACCAACTGTGGGGCCCTGTGGCCAAAATGTGGTGAAAGAAGTATTCAGATCCTAAAAGTAATAATGCACTAATATAGAAATGCAATTAAAAGTAAAAGTATTCATGCAGCAGAATGCTCAAGGAAGATGTTTTGATATGTAGAGTATAGAAGTATTATTATCATTATTATCACTGATGCTAAACATGTGAGAAACATTTTATTATTGTAGGAATTTGAAAATGTTGTTAGACAAGTTTCATAAACAGAGCATGTTTCATTTGTAGAAATTTGATCTGCAAAGTAACTGGTAACTATAGCCGTCAAATAAATGTGAAGTCAAAAATATATTTTTCTCTGAAATTCAGTGGAGTTAAAATAAGAACAACAAAATAAAATACACTACAGGAGTAAATGTGTTACTTTCCAATACTGAATTTCACCAACTCTCTGTGCATTGTGTGTGTAATAGTTTGTAATTAATTAGTTGTCATAATTTGAATAAGAAAACATTTATTTGCTCCCAGTAACGACTGAGATAATAAAGGCCCTAAAACTAGATTTTAACTTGGGCCCCTCTACAACACAGGGCCTTGAGATTATGTGCTGCCTTGATGTCTTTATTATTTCAGTTTGTCTTGTGCTGATAGTGAAGCATTACAGCCTGACCAAAACAAATTTGCTGGACGTGCCATCAGGCGCCCCGATGGTCACAGGTGCAATTGTCCATTTGAACCACTTGGTGATCCAGCATTAGTCATCAATGACAGTCAAACAATACAAGAAACTATACACTATGTGAGGCATTTGTAAATCTAGGCGCCTGCTCTCCCTCATTTACATCATCTACCAGCAGGTATCTCATCTCACCGGGACCATGGAGTAAGTCATCATCGTCATCATGTCATCCTGCACATGCGCCTTGTGGTAACTATGGCTGTGTCGGTGCTTGTGCTTCAGCTCATGCTTCATCTTCTTCTCTGTGTCCTCTCCCACCTCCTGGCTGACCTCTTGCTGATAGAGCTCCTGTCCGTCTTCCTGGTGAGGCTCGTGGTGAAGCTCCTGCTCCAACTTTTTTTCACTCCTCTTGTTCCTGGAGTACTGGTATTGGTACTGGTATTGCGGCTGCTGTTCCCCAACGTTTGCTCGAATACCCGCCGCTCTCCCGGGCACCTCCTGGAGGAACTCCACCACCGAGCTTTGCTCCACATCTGTCAGCCTCACCTCTGTCTGCTCCAGCCTGGCATGTTGCTGATTCTGCTGGACCAAGAGCACCAGAAGGCCCACAGAGTTCATCAACGCCACAACACACGTCCCGTACAGCACCATCCGCTGAGGGAGAGTCATGCTGGGTGTCGGGATCCACATGGTTACCACCTCACCTCCTCTTTTCTGAGGGTCACCCACCAACCTCAGCATTCACAGGGGAATACAGTTCCAGCACAGCAGTCAATATAAAGGATAAAAGTCAAACGGGACAGAGACAGCCCACGTTTTATCACCCTGTAATCCAAGATGCTGCCACCAAAACTCAAGTCAAACCAACTAAAGCCAAACGAATCCAACAGGAAGGAAGTCCTCTTCTGAAATTCAACGTCCTGTCCAGGTTATTTGAAAGTCCAGTCAGCTTCAGCGTCTGTGCTCCACCTAGGTCGTCTATCGGAAGGCAGACTGGTAAATACAGTGCTGGTTGTGTTGTTCACCAAGTGGAGAAGGGGTTGTGTGTGTGTATGTATGTGTGTGTGTGTACATGCTAACCAGTAATGTAGGAGTGGGCATTACACAATCTTCTGAGCTTGTCTGGGAAGAAACCCCCGCCTGTTCAGTCACCTGATTTATATTCAGCACAGCCCATTCTACTGCACAGCCGTGGGCAGACTGACATCACAACACACACACACACACACACACACAGTCACACACAAACATGCACATATGTATGATGTACCCATGAAAGCAGGATTCCAGACATATACATACACGTCATCATCATTATTATTATTATCATTATTACAACAAAACCAATCTTGAATTAAAAAGAAAATACATTACATCAAAATGCATTAACATCATGCCTATTAATGCCCTAGCTCTCATCCCCATCTCCCAACTCCTTCCATTTCTCCCCTGGGTGCTGGCCCTCGTCACATCTACACAGCTTCCCTCCACCAACTACAACAATGACCCATTTCCATTGCTTTGATTTGGGCCAGTAAAGTGACATTTCACCAGAACAATGACAGTTCAGCAGAAAAAAAAAAAAATCCACTCCAGGCATTCACAGTGAGCAGTACTTATTACGGCCTCTGTTGACTGAAGTGTAGGTGTGGCTGGGCCATTTTCTGTGAGTTACCCAAGTAATTACTCAGATAAAAAAACAAAACAAAACTGTGTGTTACAGTAAGTCAGTTAATTGGCCTCTCTGGTGACACGGAGCAGTGCTGGATTCATTTAGCTGTCCTACGCGCTCTTGCAGCAATGCTGTGCCAATAAAAGTGATATTTTGAACATGTTAGACCAGTTTAAGTATTTCAGTAACATACCAGGCCTATGCAGACTCCCTCGGTCTGTTGCAATTATCCTACGAGCCGCTCCGCATCGTCGTCCCGTTCGCCATATATCAGAATTGAAGCGAATTCTATAGAGGACCGACCGGCGAGAAAAAATTTATCCAATACATATAATTAAAAACACCTGTGATGCACCAAATTTTACCAGCTCAGTTTGAATAACCAACTGTGGGCCCTGTGGCCAAAATGTGGTGAAAGAAGTATTCAGTCCTAAAAGTAATAATGCACTAATATAGGAAATGCAATTAAAGTAAAAGTATTCATGCAGCAGATAGCTCAAGGAGGAAGATGTCTTGATATGTAGAGTATAGAAGTATATCATTATTACACTGATGCTCAAATCATGTGAAACATATTTATATTATTCTTGTAGGAATTTGAAAATGTTTGTAGACAGTTTCATAAACAGAGCATGTTTCATTTGTAGAAATTTGATCTGCAAAGTAACTGGTAACTATAGCCCGTCAAATAAATGTGAAGTCAAAATATATTTTTCTCTGAAATTCCAGTGGAGTTAAAATAAGAACAACAAAATAAAAATACACTACAGGAGTAAATGTGTTACAGTTTATAATACTGCAATATGAATTTACTGCAACCTACTCTCTGTGCATTGTGTTGTGTAATAGTTTGTATATTAATTAGTTGTCATAATATTGAATAAGAAACACTTTATTTGCTCCCAGTAAGACTGAGATAAAAAGGCCCTAAAACTAGATTTTTAACTTGGGCCCCTCTACAACACAGGGCCTTGAGATTATGTGCTGCCTTGATGTCTTTATTATCTTCGTTTGTCTTGTGCTGATAGTGAAGCATTACAGCCCTGACCAAAACAAATTTGCTGGACTGCCATCAAGGCCCCGCACTAGTATGGTCACAGGCATTGCGGATCCAGCTTGTCTTGATAACCACTTAGGATCTATCACATGTACAATGCCACAATTACAAGAAAAACTATAACTACATTCAGCCTGTGAGGCAATTTTGTAATCTTAGGCGCCTGCTCCTCCCTCATTAATCATCTACCAGCAGGTATCTCATCTCACCGGACCATGGAGTAAGTCATCATCGTCATCATGTCATCTGCACATGCGCCTGTGGTAACTATGGCTGTGTCGGTGCTTGTGCTTCAGCTCATGCTTCATCTTCTTCTCTGTGTCCTCTCCCACCTCCTGGCTGACCTCTTGCTGATAGAGCTCCTGTCCGTCTTCCTGTGAGGCTCGTGGTGAAGCTCCTGCTCCAAACTTTTTTCACTCCTCTTGTTCCTGGGAAGTACTGGTATTGGTACTGGTATTGCGGCTGCTGTTCCCCAACGTTTGCTCGAATACCCGCCGCTCTCCGGGCACCGTCCTGGAGGAACTAACCATCACCGAGCTTTGCTCCACCTCTGTCAGCTCACCCTGTCTGCTCCAGCCTGGCATGTTGCTGATTCTGCTGGCACCAGAGCACCAGAAGGCCCACAGAGTTCATCAACGCCACAACACACGTCCCGTACAGCACCATCCGCTGAGAGAGTCATGCTGGCGGTGTCGGGACCACATGGTTACCACCTCACCTCCTCTTTTCTGAGGTCACCCACCAACCTCAGCATTCACAGGGGAATACAGTTCCAGCACAGCAGTCAATATAAAGGATAAAAGTCAAACGGGACAGAGACAGCCCACGTTTTATCACCCTGTAATCCAAGATGCTGCCACCAAAACTCAAGTCAAACCAACTAAAGCAAACGAATCCAACAGGAAGGAAAGTCCTCTTCTGAAATTCAACGTCCTGTCCAGGTTATTTGAAAGTCCAGTCAGCTTCAGCGTCTGTGCTCCACCTAGGTCGTCTATCGGAAGGCAGACTGGTAAATACAGTGCTGGTTGTGTTGTTCACCAAGGAAGAAGGGGTTGTGTGTGTGTATTTATGTGTGTGTGTGTACATGCTAACCAGTAATGTAGGAGTGGGCATTACACAATCTTCTGAGCTTGTCTGGGAAGAAACCCCGCCTGTTCAGTCACCTGATTTATATTCAGCACAGCCCATTCACTGCACAGCCGTGGGCAGACTGACATCACAACACACACACACACACACACACACACACAGTCACACACAAACATGCACATATGTATGATGTACCCATGAAAGCAGGATTCCAGACATATACATACACGTCATCATCATTATTATTATTATCATTATTACAACAAAACCAATCTTGAATTAAAAAAAATACATTACATCAAAATGCATTAACATCATGCCTATTTAAGCCCTAGCTCTCATCCCCATCTCCCAACTCCTTCCATTTCTCCCCTGGGTGCTGGCCCTCGTCACATCTACACAGCTTCCCTCCACCAACTACAACAAATGACCCATTTCCATTGCTTTGATTGGGCCAGTAAAGTGACATTTCACCAGAACAATGACAGTTCAGCAGAAAAAAAAAAAAAATCCACTCCAGGCATTCACAGTGAGCAGTACTTATTACGGCCTCTGTTGACTGAGTGTAGGTGTGGCTGGGCCATTTTCTGTGAGTTACCCAAGTAATTACTCAGAAAAAAACAAAAACAAAACTGTGTGTTACAGTAAGTCAGTTAATTGGCCTCTCTGGTGACACGGGACGTGCTGATTCATTTAGCTGTTTCCTACGCGCTCTTGCAGCATGCTATGCCC